TATATATATGCTTGAGTGCTGCCTTGTAGCACCAAGCAGAAGCAGCCATTAGCCACAAATTAAGAGAGCACAAAAGACGTCTAGATTACCATTAACCTTCAGTCTTCTTCTTTGAGAATTGAGATGGCCTCAATACAATGCTACAAGCCCACTGAGCTAAGCTGCCACCAGGTGCAGCAAGAGCACTCTTTCAGTGAGAAGGTGACAGAGGTGGCTAGCTGGGCCGTCGATAGCCATGGCAGCCAGAAAGATTATAGCGAGACAGAATACTACAGCCAGACCCAGGCCCAAAATACCAACAATGGAACAGAGAAGTCCCAGGTTCAGTACTTCCATAGCCAAACCCAAGCCGATCACCCTAACCAGCGTCAGGGCCACCACCAGGCATCCAATGGGATGGTGAATCGCCATGGGACAATCAAAAAGAGGGGTGAGCGCAAGCAGGGTCTGCTCCATAGGCTCAAAGATAAAATCTCTGGTGACAGCAGCAGTGACAGTGAGAGTGATGATGAGAAACGTGGGAGAGGAAAGGTAAGTCATACATAATTAAATGATCAAAGCTAGTGATCATGAACTGGAGTGCAAGCAAATGTCTTATTTCCCTTCTACTAGACATGAAAAAAAGAAAACATTTAACTAGTATTTATTATCCTTTTCTGTATTTTAACTTTCTTCTCTGTCTTCTGCAGAGCTGCTGAGGAGCGATCCCTTCTGGATCAATCAAATGAAGGTTCATGCTACACCTACATGATAAATAAATAAATGAATAATGGTATGAAGACATATATATCAATAAGAAGCTGGGATTGCATAACTTTTACTGGTGAAAAAATGAAGTTTCTGAATGCAGTGGACCTAAGTACTATGCAAAATATCAACTGCTATGAAGTGTACTACTTAACTAAATAAATAAAAACTATCTTTGTTGATTACTCTCATGCAATGATGCCACTCTTTTGATTTTTCCTTCATCTATTTTTTCTATTTTCTATGCCAAATAGAAATTTCATGATGTTTTTCCCTTTCATGATTGGCAATCTTGTCCGATGGACTGTGCAAAGTCTGTCAAACGGTATAAAAGGATGAGGAAGCAATTCTCTAAGACTGCTGTACCCCCTAGCTAATGGGGGGAGGTTCACAATCTGCTATATGCGCCTGCTGTATGAGTCCTGAAGAGTATGGTTTTGTTTGAGTTTTTAGGTTGGCATAAGCTGCAGAAACCGGCTTAGTTTTTTTCTTCTCCTGTAATTTTCCTGAAGGTTTTTCTGAGTTTTGGAGTTCTTGATTGTTGTAGGCAAATTTGGATTGTATCTGGAGTTCACCGGACTGTATTTTGTTTTGGGAGTATTTCTTATGCTCCTTTGATAATATACTTCGTATGATGCTTTGCTGATAAAAAAAAAAAAAAAAAAAAAAAAAAAAAAA